GTCAGCGGTCTCCTGCTCTGTCATGCCTCCTGCCATCCCGCCCCCCACCCCTACCCCACCCCACCCCTGCCCCACCTGGCCCTGCCCCACAGAGAGCCAACCCCCTTAGCCCTAGGCAGCTCGGCCACAGTGAGCAAGGCTTAAGGGAATTCCTGAGATTTGGCCTGATATGCCAAATCAGATATGCCACCTAGAGGTCCAGGGTCTCAGAGTACCCCCCCAGGGAATGGCCAGGACCCTTCATGACCACACTACTTAGGGCTTGCCTGGCGTGGGCTCCTCCTGGGCTGTGATGAATACAGAAGGGCCCCTGGGGCAGGGGACACATGACCACTAAGTCCCAAGGCCTGTGAGTTTGGGGAGTCCCCGGAATTAGCACTCAGCTCTGGGTGTGGGAAGAGATAGGACCGCCCCAACACACACACCCAGGCAGTGAAGCTGAGCAAGTGGAGTGTGTCCCTCCCTTGCCAGGAGCAGCCACATCCAGCCTCCAAAGTGGCCACAGGCTGGGGAGGTGGCTCTCCCACAGGGGAAGTTTCCAATGTCCCCATTTTCCTGAACAAGGAAAAGCCATGGCCAGGAAGTTCAGCCAGTCAGGGCTGGCGACCCAGGAGGCACCAGGTCCACAGAGCAACACCCAGAGCTGCACGGACCCAGGGCCAGCGGCTGTGACCACAGGGGTAGAGCAGGGCTGGGGCATCTGTCTGCCGCCACGTGCACAGACCCAAGGACGCGGATGTGGCCTTTGACCCACAGATTACAGAGCTGATCAAGTGGGAAAGTCAACACAAGCTCTCAAGGAGCAGCTGGCCGGACCTGGGGTCAGCCAGGAGGGGTGGGGCTCATGGGACACGGGAGGGCTCGGGCCTCGGACGCCAGGAGCAGAGTGTGGCCCAGGCCAGGAAATGCAGACTGCCGGAATCAGGGGTTATTGCCACCTTGTCTGGCAGGCTGCGGGGGGCCCAAGGGCTGGAGTTGACTAGCCCAGGGGGCCCACATTAATCTCAGTCATACCAGGAAGAGGTGGGGATAGGGAGCAGTGCCCTGGTAGGTGAGCAGCAAGCTCAGGGGGGCCTGAGGGACACAGGTCTGGATCAAGGGTATCTGGGACCCAGGCCCTTCTTGGGCAAGGCAGGAGCCCACAGATCCCCCAGCAACAGGCCATGGGGTCTCTAGAAAAGAGCTTCTCCTTCAGTGACAACAGCCCACCGCGGAGGAGATCTGTCTGTCCCACCCACTCCCTGAAAGATGAAAAAGACACACCATGTAGCCCCCAAAACAGTCCAGAGAACAGAGGAATGCCTGTAGTGAGACACACAAGTGTATGTCTGGGATTTAATCCTGCCCCCCAAACTCCTAGAGGGACGCCCGGACCTCCGGGACCTCAGAATGTGCCCCGACTTGGGAAGGGGCCCCTTGCAGGTGAGCTCATTGAAGGGGGGGCCTCACCTGATATGGCAGTGTCCTTATGGAACGGGGAGATTTGAGTCAGACTCGCTCGCAGGGAGAGGCAAGATGAGCAGTTGACCATGGAGGTGGAGGCAGGGGTGCAGCTGCAAGCCAGGGAGCCCCAGAGAAGCCAGGCTGCCAGCAGGTGGGGGAGAGGCATGCATGGAGGCAGCCCTGCCCACACCTGGACTCCTGCTTCCAGAGCCGGCACAGGGACACCTGGTTGTTCCAGGACTTACACCTCCAACAGAAACTGGGTCCCCCTCCTGCCCAAGGCTGGAAAGTGGAACGAAGTATATGAAACGGTGGTCAGGACATTGGACCTCAGGTGGTGAGAGCCACCATCCCAGGAGAGGGGAAGCCACAGGGAGGGGACCAGGAGGAGCTCAGCCGCCACCCGGAGAGCCACACAGCTGGAGGGCAGGGCTGTGGACATGGGCAGGAGGCCCCTCCGGTCACTGGGCAAGGCATGCAGGTGAGGACAGGGGAGCCAGCAGGTGGGGGCGTGCCTGTGCCTCCCCACCCCGCCCTCCCCCAGGGAGATGCTGAAAACCCTCAGGAGGGCAGCGCGGTGGGAAGATCACTCCGCCAGGTCCTGCTGGGGCTGAGCTCTTCCAATCCCAGCTAACAGTTCACAGAAGAAACACCCAAGAGGCCCAATCTGTTTCCAAGCCCAAGATTTGTAGGAAGACAGAGATACGCGGCCCTCACAAGGTGAGATGTGCACCAGCACCGCTGACACCCAGTCAAAGGGCAGCTGGCAGGAAAGGAACCAAACAATTTGACGCATGACTGAGATAAAAATAAGTCACTGGAGGCCAGCCTGGTGGTGGTGGCGCAGGAGGTAGGATTAGCATGCCGGGGTGTCGGCATGGTCACTGTCACTGAACCCCGTGTGTTTAAAAAGAAGCTGTAAGGATGAACATGCTGCACAGGGCTACAGAAAGTGTAAGAAAGGCAGAAATTACAGTCTTAGAGACAGAACGTGAGCCAGGGGTGAGCAGCAGGTAAGACCCACCGAGGAAAACCCTGGTGGGTCTGCAGTGAGACCCAGATACACTCGAACCAGCCCGCAAGCACGCGTGTGCAGCCGGCTCTGCAGCCACAGGCCGCAAACATGCCGTGGGGCCATGACCAGGTTCTGCTCTGCGTTCGTGAAAGCCAGAAGCCCCCAAGGTGCACACCGCTCACCTGCCCCAGGGACAGCACCCGAGAAGGATGCCCTGACAAATCATCACGCAGCTCAAACGCAGGGAGTAAAAGAAACCCTGAACAGAAGCCAGGGCAGGAATGTGTTGTCTGAAGACGAACACGTACAATGTGACAACTGGCGATTTTGCCAGAAACAAGCATGTGCACTGGGAAACAGGAGCTGACATCCTGAGAAATACCTTCCAAAAACAAAGCCAAGAGGCAGGCCACTCACACACAGCTGCCTGGTCCCAGGAGCTGACACCCAACCTGTGATGTCCACACACAGACGGCAGTCTTCCAGTGACAGCAGACAACCCGGAGCTGTGCGGGGTCGGGCGTGTGTGGAGGCAGCCCGCGGGGCAGCAACACCTTCTAAGGGCGGCCGGGGTACAGGAAGGACAAGCACTGTGTGCCCCATAGTGACCACCGAAACCTCCGGACTGAGATCATAGTGCCCAAGGCAACAAAGGGGACACTGAATCCCAAAGGAACACCCCATTAATCCAATAGAAGGCAGGACAAGAACAGCTGGAAGAAATGGGAACTGGTGTCAGGAGGGTGACTGTGGCCACGGGTTCCATGCCTGTGCCAAGGACAGCCACCTGAAATCCCAGAGAAAAGGCATCAAACAGCCAGACGCCCCCATGTGCTGCCTGAAGAAAGACCTGTAAATATAACGGCACATGTGAGCCGCTCAGAATAAAACACAGAGAAAGACATGCAAATACATGGAAAGAAAGGTCAAGTAATAATTATAAACACCAAAGCAGGTTTTAAGAGCAAAGACGATTATGACAGGTGAATAAAATGTGATTTCCTGGCTGTGACACCAACGAAGCACAACCCAAAGAAAAACTGGTAAATCAGACCTTGTCAGGATTAAGAACGGCTGCTCTCTGGGAGGTAACAATGAACAATAACCAGGCACAGGGTGCCCAGTGGCGCAATCGGTCTAGGTTTCAGCTCAGGTCACCATCTCGCGGTCACGGGATCGAGCCCTGCGTCACGTTCCACATGCAGTGAGGGGTGTGTTTCTCTCCCTCCTCCTGCCCTCTCTCATGCTTTCTCTCAAATAGATAAGAAGGAAAGAAAGAAGGAAGGGAAGGGAAGGGAAGGGAAGGGAAGGGAAGGGAAGGGAAGGGAAGGAAGGGAAGGGAAGGGAAGGGAAGGGAAGGGAAGGGAAGGGAATAACATAAGGGCACACCCCACACTGGAAGAAAGATCTTCGCCAACCCCATGCCTGGGGAAGGACCAGTATCCAGAATAGATCAAGAACTCTCAAAACTGGGATCCCTGGGTGGCGCAGCGGTTTGGCGCCTGCCTTTGGCCCAGGGTGCGATCCTGGAGACTCGGGATCGAATCCCACATCGGGCTCCCGGTGCATGGAGCCTGCTTCTCCCTCTGCCTGTGTCTCTGCCTCTCTTTCTCTCTCTGTGACTATCATAAATAAATAAATAAATAAATTTAAAAAAAAAAGAACTCTCAAAACTGAATCATAACCAAATAATCTGATTTTAAAATGTGCAAAAGATGTGAACAGACACTTGGTCAAAGAAGACACATGATGGTAAATAACAGGTGCGAGACAGCACTATACACCTGTCAGGATGCTCCTGCTGCTCACGCCATGTGCTTGGAGGAAGCGGGGGGGGGGGGGTGTGTAGGATGGGGGGATGTGAATGCTTCAGCTGCTCTGGGGAAGTCAGCCAGGTCCCTAAAAAGTCAGCAAGACACCAGCCATATGGTCCGGTCGCACTCGCCTGGGCACTTTCCCAAGAGAAGGGAGCACGCACTCACCGTGATGTGTGTGCACAGGATCCTGGCAGCTCAAACTGGAAACATCCCCTAGGGGAGCATAGCGCAGACAGGGGCGCAGCCGGTAGTGGGGAAAGGCACAGGCAGAGGGGGCGTGCCTCCCCCACCAGGGAGCGCTGCTCGGCAACACAATTGAACAAAGTATTGATGGGGCAGCAACGTGGATGAAATCTCAGACGTCACTCAAAATGCTGAACGAAATCTGCCAGACAACCACAGTCCATGTGGCCTGATTCTATCCATGTCAAAGTGTAGAACACAGGGCGGGTGTGCATGCTACGGATGCGGACGGGTCTCCAGAGAGCATGGGACCCCCTTGGGCAGAGGCGGTGTCCTCTGGGGGCTGCTGTCCCGATGGCAGTGATACTTTCAAGGGTTTGTGCTTGGGTCAAAATTCATTAAATTGTACTTTTTCAAATACATGTGGGTTTTTTTTTTTAATCTGTTATGCCTGATAGAACTGCTAAAAGCAAAACAAAAACCAAAATAACAGTTCCACCCAGAAATCGTGCTTTTACCCACTGGGAGAAGAGAGACTCTACCTGGGCCTTTGGCTCCCACGGTTCCAGAAATTGTTCAACTCTGAAGGTCATGGGGTCACGGGGACCCGGCTCTGAGCCTGGAAAAGACAGAAGGCAATGCTGTGGGGCCGGTGTGGGGCCCCCACAAGTGCCTTGTGTCCTTGGGCCAGCATCCAGCCACCACCAATGGGGTCCTCTCGGCCCTGCTACACCGAGTGTCCCACCTGAAACTGCAAAGCAGGGACACAGCAGGTGCTGTGCCCCAAACCAGGCTCCGAGGGTGAGTTTGCCTTGCCATCCTCGTCACCTGCACTGGTGCTCAGGTTGGGAGAGTTAGGGTCAGAGGGACCTCTGTGGGTGGGATCTTCAACCAGGGAGCAGCCCAACATCTAGCCCCCAGTCGTGGGGACTGCCTTTTCAGAAGAGGACCATGGAACCGGCTGCTCCCAAGGCCAGTGTCAGCCCCCAGCCCCTGACACTGGGTAGGGCCACAGCCTCTGACCCCCAGGGAACTTCCCTGCCACCCAGGCTTTTTCAGGGCCTTGGCTGTCAAGTGCCATGTGCTAAGGGGCCCACAGCAGCTGCCTCTTGCAGGCAGGCTGGCCACCATGAGTAGTCCCAGGTGCTGCAGGTACTTGCTGGGCAACTGCTAGAGGCAGCCAGCACAACACCATGGCCGCTGGACAGCAGGTCCAGGCCCTGAGACTCCCCTGGGCTGGCCCCTGGTGTGAGTGGCCCTAGAAATCTACCCAGTCCCATATAGAGTGTTCTGTGTTCTCCTTGGCCAGTCACATAGAACTGGCCATTGTGAGCCAGGGCAGCACTGGCCCTGTTTCTTGAGCATCTGTGGGCCACACCTGGTCAGTGCCAGCTGTTCCAGGACCCTTCAGACCCAGCCCTGCCCACCCTCGCCTACTCCCTGCCACTGCCTGAACTGCTGTGTCACTCTTTTGTGCAGGGCCCCTCCCCTTCTCCCAACTCTTGGTCCTAAGTTTACCCATTTCTCCCAGCTCACTCCAGAGCCAGGACACTCTCGTATGGCCCCCACCCTTTCACCAGTAAAGAGCCCCTGAGTTCCCACACTGATACAGGCACTTCCAGGCCCAGCCCCAGCCCCAGCTCCTGGCCCGACAGTCTGACTGCTCCTCTTTCACTCACCTCCTCCAGGAAGCCTTCCTGGGCTGCTCAGGGCCCTTCCTGCTCAGAGTTGCATCTGCCCTCAGAGACCACCTGACTTGTGCTTCTGGGAGTCTTGCCAGGCCCCCCAAGCTGTTATGAGCCACCTGTTTGTGATCCCCCCAAATTCATAGGTTGAAGCTCTTACCCAAAGGGAATGGAATTAGGAGGTAATGGGGTTGTGAAGGTGGGAACCCGTGAGGGGTTCATGCCCCTGTAAGATCTCTTTCCTGTCCCTCTCCCCACATGAGCGTGCAGCAAGGAGGCACCAGCTGCAGCCAAGAAGAGCTCCAAGCACACCCAGCCTGCAGGGCTGAGAGAAGCAAATGTCCACAGACATGGCCAGAGCCAGAAGCCCCCTCATGACCACCCCCTCAGCAACATCAGGCTCCCGGAGGTCACAGGCATCCTGGTTCTACCCCGACGGCCACCACCACCCAGCCACCTGCACCTAGGGTTACAAGGACAGTGCCCTGGGTCTCCCCGGACACCTGAAAAGCCCCCTCAGGAAGCAAATACTTGCTCATCCTTGGAAGGCAGAGGCAGCCCAGGTAACGGCCCAGCCTGACTTGTGCTGTTCCTCATCCCGCCTGCCACCCGGGCCCAAGCCCCAAACCCCACCTGGCCAACCTTATCTGTTTGCCTTTCACTCAACATCCGCTGGCAATTAGGGCCCAGCACGGAGGGGCACACAGCCAAGGTGTGGGGCTGCTGGGGGCCAACCAGGGGCTGCTGGGCACATTACCGTAGCCACTGGCGGCTGGCCCACAGCTGAGTGGACGGTGGATTGTGGACCCTGCCCTGGAAGCTAGGGCAACAAGTGGCACAGCTTCCCCCCCTCGACAGAGGGTAGGGGCACTAGCCAAAGTACCGCGGGGACTGGACAGGAGGCAGCAAGGATCCCCTGGTCCAGTGTAGGTACCTCCCCAGCACCATGCAGCTGAGCCCCTCCTGGTGGAAGGGGAGGGTTGGGCAGGCCTATCCTGCGAGGCGTCCAGCCCCAGGCCTGCTCTCCTGGCTCTCCTGCCAGGCCTCTGCACAGGGTCAGCAACGAAAATGGACAGGAAGGTGAAGAGGCCAGGAGAGGCCACACAGTGAACACACCATCCTGCTCTGGAACACGGCTCCACGGGGCCTGTGGCAGCCAGAGGCTCAGGCTTCAGCGTCCCCTGCTGGGGGCTCCCTGACCTGCCCCCCCCCCGCCCCTGCAGCTCCATATATGACATCTGTGCACTTGATGGCAGCACCCACCCTAAATCCAGGCCCAGGGGCAGGAATAGCCAACAAGGTGCAGCAGAGGTTGAAAGTACAGATGGAGGGCAGCCCGGCGGCCCAGCGGTTTAGCACCACCTTCAGCCCAGGGTGTGATCCTGGAGACCTGGGATTGAGTCCCACGTCAGGCTCCCTGAGTGGAGCCTGCTTCTCCCTCTGTCTGTGTCTCTGCCTCTCTCTGTGTGTCTCTCATGAATAAATAAATAAAATCTTTAAAAAAATAAGTACAGACGGAGCAGGGTCAGTTATGGGGAGACCCCGGGAGCAGGGTGGCCCCGGGACTACAGAAGAGGCAGCTCGGGGAAGAGGGGCCGGGCCTAGAGGAGCAAGAGCCCCTCACCTGTAGCCCCGGCTCACTGGCTCTGCTGCCACCCCCAGCAGAGGTCTGAAGGGGCCAAGGAGAAGCAGGAGCCAGCCTGGGGGATGTGATAGGAAACCCTGGAGGCATAAGGGGACCTGTGGCTCCAGGAGGAGGGGTCTGAGGGAGGAAGGGCTGCAGATGGCTGGGTGGGGATGTGCCCAGAACAACACTTGGTGGGAAAGAGAAGAGGGGCACTTGCTGGGATGGTGGCCGACCTTTTGGGATCTCTGCTGCCCACTGATCTTGGGGTAACTCACTGTGGGCCTGAGGTCCCTCGTGTGCAAGGCCCCTCCCAGGCCTGGGATCCCCTGGTCTGCACCATCTGCCTGTGTGGGCCACACAGCCCAGCACCCGCCACGGCTGCCAGGCCCACCCTCAGACAGGTAGCAGCAGCTTGCCAGGCTGGGGCACAGCTACCACATCACAATCTTTCCCTGACGCACCCCAAAGCCATGGTTTCTGGTCCTTTGATCTGATGGTGATCAGCGGGGCCAAGCCTCAGGGGGTGAAGCCCTACTCACCCTTCCCCAGGGAACGTCACAGCTGACAGGCGGGGCCCAGGGAGGTGGACCAGCCAGCGTGCATCTGGGCATCTCCCTGAACTTGCATCCAGCAAGCCCAGGTTCTTGGGGGCTTCCCACCTGGGACGAGAGCCAGACCCCGAGCTGTTCGGGAGCTTTCTGAAAGCACCTGCCTCCAGTGAATGGCTCACGGCCCCAGGCGAAGGTCAGGTCCAAGGGGCTAGCACCCACCCTCCAGGGCCCTGTGGCCTGGACACTGGCCCCCCCGGCTGGTCGTGCACACAGAGGACGTGGGCAGGGCTGTGAGGCCAGACAATCCCCCATTTGTCAGGCCCGTGGGTTCCGCTTCCTGGGGCTGCTGGGTGGGCGGGGTGGGGGGTGCTGGCCCCTCGAGGCCTGAGAACAATGGACTCACACAACCTTATCTCCCACTGTTTGCCCAGCACACTGAAAGCTGCCAGCTCAGGGAAGAGACACGTGTTTTCCCTGCTTTCCTGCTGAACCGGCGTACAGAGGGGGAAAAGGGGCCCATCGCCAAGGGGCCACCACCTCGCGGACACGGAGCCGGACACGGTGCGGGCCATGTGGTAAGGCCGTGAACAGCCCTAAGGGGACAGACGCTTGCATGGCAAGATTTTCCAGGAAACGCAAACCGAGTCTCACACGTACACATGTGCTCAGGTTTCTCTATTCCAGGCCATGTGGGCAGCCCTGTCTCTGTCCCCGTGACCCAACCCCTGCTGGGGGGTGACACTGGGGACCCCAACAGGGGGACCAGTTGCCTGCCATAAGCCTGGCTCTTTCCCCAGGAGCACGCAAATGATCACAGTTCCCTGCTCTGGCTCCATCTGTCATCGGCGCCTGGCATGCCCTGAGACACAGGCATCCTCCAGGCCCTGGGACACATGGACGACAGCAAGGGTCGAGGCACTGTTGGGAAGCAGGACAGCACCCGATGTGCAGGGTGGAGAATCAGAGGCATGGTCAGCAGGGAGGCAAGGAGTAGCCCTTGCCAAGGCCAGGTGGTCAGATGCCTACTGGGTGGGACGCCACTGGGGGTCTTGCAAGGGTGTGGGGGGAGAACAAGGCTTGGGCCTCAATTCCACTGGTAGCCCTGGCTGCAGGGGACATCAGAGGGACAGCCTCACATGTCCACCTCAGGAAGGGGCTCTAACTGTGGGAGAGGGCCCCAGGCAGCCCGAGTACACTTTTCCAGCAGGGTTCTGGGCCTCTCTCTTATCCTGCTTGTCCCAAGGCCTGATATGTCACCTCCCCAGGGCCCCCCTGTCTGGTGTCCCTCATGCACCCAGCATCCTGGCCTGGACTGAGGCTCAAGGAGGACCCACCCCCACCCCAGCACCCACTCATCACCCCCCCCATGACAGCGTGAGGTCCCCGGGGTCAGGGAGACCTGCCCACCCCCTCCCGGCCTCATGCAGAACATGAACAGACAGACCCCAGCCAGGGGAGGTTCCGGGGCAGGGGCACCCAGAGAGATCTCAGAACCCCTCTCATCTACTCTGCTTCTGAGTGAGGAGGGAACAGGAGTGCCCAGCATGCCCGGGAACCTTCCATCCCTGGCCCCAGCTTAGGTGCCCTCAGAGTGTCATTTTCAGTTAAAATAGTGTTGTATTAGAACTAAAGTTTATATAAAGTAAACAGCATCTACTGCTTTCTGGCTGGGGCTCTAGGCTGGGGAGGGAGTGGCCCCACATAGAGAGCTCAGCCTAGGGGGTCCTCAGACAGGAGCCCAGGGTTCCTGCACCCCAAGTCTCTGTGGGGCCAGAACCAAGCTCAGGAAAGGGGAAACCCCTGCACCGGGGCCCAGGC